GCAATGTCCTACCTGCAAATGAATACTTCAGCTTCAATCATAACAATACAAGAGCACACAATAGTACAAGCTCAAGGTTAACCGCACCAAACTTGACTGCAAAAAATACGACTTCAGCAACAGAGTGGTCAATGTTTGGAATACTCTACGTGACTCTGTGGTTTCTTCCCCAAACCCCAAAAACTTTAACCTTAGACTGTCTACTTTTGACCTCACCCCCTTCCTAAGAGGCCTGTAGGGGGCGTGCATAAGCGCACCAATCATGCCTACCGTCCCTGTCCTATTATTTTTTATTTTTCTTATAAGTATTTCATGTATTCAAAACTATATTTATTCTTATACCTGTATGTTGTAAGCGATTGACAAATCAAATAAAATGTTAAAAAAATGTAAAAAAAAATGTGTCTCTTTGGATTTTTGTAGTCCAGCTCTGGTACGTCTCCAAAGGCAGATTTCCTTTTCTGATTTTAATGAATGGTAAAATCATGCCAAAATTAGCACTCTCATAGGTGATGTAGATAGAAGCCAAAAATAGGATTCATATCTGAAATCTATAAAAGCTAGTCTGCAGAGCAGTGCTTCTCAATCTTGGCAAATTTAAGATGTGTGGACAGAAGAACGAACCTGCTGTTTAAATGTCTTTTATGGAAACAATTTCAGCTCTCGTATATCTGACGGAAAAATGAGCTGATGACAATAGTGAAGAGGATATTTCAAGCAAGGGAAAGCACTTCTGAATTACTTCATTGCTCCTGCCCTATTAAAAGTGAAGCCCCTTTGCTACAGAAGCCAGCTACCGAATGAGTCAAATATTAAGGCTGACTGGTTGTTTTTTCCAAAAGCTACTGAAATTTTATGATTCAGTCTTATGAGTCTGTCTGCCCAGAGATTTGACTACCAATAGATTAAACTGGGAGCTAACTTGACTTACATAATAGGACACCTTATGGGAGCTGACCAAGGGAATGAGGGAAAATCCTCTACCCTCCAGACCCAGACCTGAAATAATTTCTCTGAAGATATATGCAGAGAGATTCATGTGTCAGTCAAAGTCAGCTTAGACACACAGATGCCATGGTTGACAGTGAATGCCAACAGGGATCTTTTGAACTTCCATTATTTTGGTATCCTTAGAAAATGGCAACTGCTTCCTAGAAGCATCCAGAAAGGTGTGCAACAAACTGAAATTTTGTCAGAATGACAAAACCTTCTCCACCTTTACATACTTGCCTGCAAGGTTTTTTAATCATTTGGCCTCTATCCATGAGTGTCCACAACACCTTGATCAAGGCAGACCAAAGTATCAGCTCTTCTGATCCCCCAGGAAGACCTTTTGGCAGGGGGATAGAGTGGTCAGATGTATGTTCCATGAAATATTTAGCACTGATGATGTTACCCAGTTTGGGTAATGAAACTGCAAAGTGACAAGCTCAGAGAGCACCAAGAACCCCTCAAAATTTTCATAGATGCAAACATCCATTGGTCCTCCAGATTACTTCAGATTTGCCAGTTCCAAGATGAGCTTGAAGAACTTCAATAATATATATTATTTTCATCCTTTCCTCAAAAGAGATATTACCTCCCATTTTAAATAATTCCAAAGGATCAGTTTTTCCAAAGGATCAGTTTCCCATGAGAATAGGAATCAGAATTTAGATTTCCTACCAAACACTGATAATTATTTTAAAATATCTAAGTGGAATTAACTTAGATGTCTCTCTTAAAATATATTCCAATCTTGAGGTATATTCATTTTTACAAGATTTTTCTTCCCTATAGATATTAAAATTGTCATCATAAATCCATGTTATACAAACAGAAAGGTTCAAATTCATCATGAAAGTTATTTTTCCAGAAATAAATAAATAATGAACTCTGAACAAAAAAACAAGCTTGTTTTTATGTATTTCCATGGACACCATATTATTGTTCACAAAATATTAGTTGTATTACAATTTTATAACCAGAATATTTACCCCCTCGTATAATCTCCTATTGCCTGAATATCTTGAACAATAAAACTGGTCAACCATTCAAAATTACATCTTGCAAGCAATTTTGCCACGTGCCTAATCTCGATATAAAAATGTTGATTTCTCCAGATGTCAGAGGAATCATATAAACATTAAACCAACATGCTTCTACCTCAGGTTTAATTTTCAGTTGCATAAATTAGTTCTAGACAAAGAGACAGCTATGTCCTAAGCCAGTTGGCCCTTCCCAGCAAAGCCAGTTTCAAGATAAATGATTTGAATAACAAACATTAACTCAGACAAAGGCCATTGATCTTGATCCTGGGCACACTGCAAAAATTCTGCAAAGTAGAATTGTTTTAATAGGAATTAGATTTCCAAGGTTTGATTCAGTAGGTGAATATTGTTCATTCAATGAAAGATCAATGCAATTCATGACATTTGAATGTACACAATGAACACAGAATGCTTAGGGATTTGTTGAACAGGAAAGGTTTGAACTGAATACGAAGGGGCATAGAATAGAGTATCTTGGAATAGGGCATAATTAACTGGAACAATAAACAGTAATATTTGTCACAGCAAGGTTCTGCTGCAGTTTACTGGTTGGAAATAATTTTGCGCGCTACTTTTTTGTTCATGTGGAAAAACATGCTGAATGGACATATATTTTTCTCTGGAGGCATATAGCAGCTTCCAAAAAGTGGGGAGGGAAGAAGATGACAAGGAAAATTTGGAAGTAAAAATGTGGCTCCTAACAGACCGTCCAATTTGATTTAGTCCTACACCAATATTGCTTTAAAAACAAATCTAGTGAAAGATTTCCAAGTTTATTCCAAATCTAGTGAAAGATTTCCAAGTGTCTTGTGTTGTTTGGCTCTTAGCTAAGGTAACTAATTTGATACCATTTTTTGTTCTTATAATCATGGCACATATCCTAACAGCAGAGGATGGCTTTGCTCTACGGTTATGTTATATACTACTAGAGGACTTCACTGACTTGTAAAATTCAAAACAAATATCTTTTTTATATATCCTGGGGAAAATCTTTTTTCAAATCTATTGGAATTTATCAAGCAAGTAGTTTGAAGGGCCCTGCTGACTAAATGGTCATATTTATTTTATTACTAGAAAGGCTATGATCTATTAAACATTCTTGGAATATTTATTTATTTATATATCATATCTCTTAACCATCTTTCTAAGTGGTGGGATTCAAAAAATTTTGCTACCGGTACTGTGGGCGTGGCTTGGTGGGTGTGGCAGGGAAGGATACTGTAAAATCTCCAGTCAGAGGTGGTATTTGCCAGTTCTCTGAACTACTCAAAATTTCCGCTACTGGTTCTCCAGAACTGGTCAGAACCTGCTGAATACCACCTCTTTGCATATTATTGGTTCACATATTATGTGAACAAATGAATCAACAAGAATGCAAACTCTAACACAGTGCCAGCAACAGCAACAAAATTCCCCGATTCAGTGGAGTTTACAGTTTACAGAATTCCTATATGTGTATGTGTGTGTGTACATGTGTATGTATGTAGAGGGGTCTGCGTAGGTATACAGATATGCATATACAGGAAGTCCTTGACTTAGTAACTGTTCAAAGTTCTGACCACCAGCACCCCTTCCAGTGGTCCCATGATTGCATTTTGGGCAGTCATATTAATGACTGCTTGCAGAATCCCACAGTCATGTGACAGAAATTTATGACATTTTTGCCCGAAACCAATGTGTACTACTGGTTTCCAGCAAAAAATGCCCACTGCAAATGGGTTTGCTTATCAATTGCTATTCATTTAACAAAAACCACCAAAAAGTCATAAAATTGAGTTGGTCACAGAGGTCACAAGTTGAGGGCTATACATGTATTTGTGTGTGTACATATACATACACATATATACATACATACATACATACATACATACATACGCATATGATTACAGCCCAGCTTATTGCATCATGGTCAGCCTTTTCATTAGCAATTTAAGCAGTTAAACTTTGCTGTTCTAGCCCATTTGAAGTCTTATGAAAGCATACCATTATTTACTTGATCATATTTTCACTGCCAAGGGAAGGGATCAGAGGTGGTATTCAGCAGGTTCTGACCAGTTCTGGAGAACTGGTAGCAGAATTTTTGAGTAGTTTGGAGAATCGGCAAATACCACCTCTGACTGTCCCTGTCCCCATCTGTTCTCTGCCTCCCGAATCCCAGCTAATCAGCTGGGTCTTCTTTTGTTGCCCTGAACAGGAGAACGGAGCTGGAAAGCAGGTTAGTGGGGTGGGGAGGGAATGGAAATTTTATAGTATCCTTCCCCCATAGCTTGGTGGGCGTGGCCCAGCAAGCCACGCCCACCAAGCCATGCCACGCTCACCAAGCCATGCCACGCCCACCAAGCCACACCCACAGAACCGGTAGTAAAAAAAAAATGAATCCCACCACTGGAAAGGATATGAGGAATTTTCATTATCAGAGGCCAAAACCACTTCACTTATCTTGGGTACTCTGGCAGTGTGCTTGCTGAGAAGTGTTGTTTATTGTTTAAGCAGAAACATGTCTTATATCCCCTTTAGTTTAAGCAAGATGGTATTATGGCAGTTTAATCCACTATGTGGATACATGAGAAAAAATGATAAAAATGTGTTTTCACACTGTTAGAAAAAAGTGTCATAATCAAAACCAAAGTAAGAATTGTCCAGCTTTGTATTTTCTAAACCAGATTAACAGGGGTTGGTACATACTATATTAAAAATGGGAGCACTATCGAGCACAATAGCTGTCTTACAAATTTTGGATCCAGTAGGAGCCCAACTTACTCCCAAAATTTAGGATTAGAATTCTGAAGGACCATATTTTTCCTCATATAAATCACTTCAATCTGAATACTTTAAGGCCCCTACTTTTTCTTCTCCTAGTGTTTTTTTTAAAAAATCTTTAAGCAGATTTGGACTACTCTTCAACGAAGAATCATTCTTTTTAATATAAAGTCAACACCTGCTGATTACCTCCAAATTAAGTTAAATGGATGTAATGAATCTACCTTAACACGCCCTTGGATGTTGTAGTGAATTCAGAATGCACCAGCGGGACTTCTGTTTCTCACCAATATGTGATACCTACTCACTACCCTCTGTAATTTTCGGAGTTAAATTCAAGGTGCTGATGTAAAAATACAAATCCATATAAAACCTTTGGGACCCAGCTCCTTGAAGGAATGCCTTCTCCCTAGGTGGTGAATTATTGATTGTCTGATTGTCCTCTTTTTATGGGTGGTGTCCAAGAGGCTAATGATGATCAAAAATCAACCAGGAGAAAAGTGGTACCATTTTTTGTAAAAATTCTCTTCCTGTTATAATTAGGATGGGTTCCTCTCTGGCTTGCTTGAAGACAACATTAAATACTTATTCTTGATACTCAGAATCTGTTATTTTAGACTGTCATTTGGATACTTTATTATTTAAGCTATAAATATTTGGGTTTTATTTCTTATGTTTTAACAGTAATTTATGAATGTTATAATGGGTTATGATGCTTTGGGATAGCTGTGAGTTTAGTGATGTTGCTCTGGATATTAACTGCTGTGGGTTTTGCTGGCCAAAGTGAATGGAAGAGAAGTATGTTAATAAATTAGGAGACCTGGCTATTCCTGTAGTTCTATATGATATTGCTAGCATATTAATCCAATAAAGCAGGGGTGTCAAACTCAAGGCCCAAGGGGCCAGATCTGGCCCATGGGGTGTTTAGATCTGGCCCATGGGGCCACTCTGGAAACAGTGAGGGACTGACCCGCAGTGCCTCTGCCAGTGAAAATGGAGCTCGGGAGCCTGTTTTTGTTGGCAGAGCACTCAGGCCACTACAGGTGCCCCCAACATGACTGACATCAAGCTAGCCATGCTCACCCTGGCCACACCAATCCCGGGCCCCCAAAGTCAAACACAACCCAGATGCAGCCCTCAATGAAATTGAGTTTGACACCCCTGCAATAAAGGATACAATAGAATTTGCTCTGTGTGTCTTATTCTGTGGTGTAATGCACCTAATCATATTGTAATATAAGCAGAATGTTAAATATTTTGTTATGTTCATTTAAAATGATTGTTTTTTGTTCCCTTTAGGTAAACCAGCAGGTTATGGAGGCAATAGACGTTCCTCTTCTTCTAGGGGAATAGTGGATGAATGCTGTTTCCAGAGCTGTGACCTGATACGGCTGGAGATGTACTGTGCTCCTATCAAGCCACCTAAATCTGCACGCTCTCTACGTGCTCAGCGACACACTGATATGCCTAAAGCACAAAAGGTAGCTAAAATGTTATCACATTTAATCTGATTATTTGTTACATATGAGGATTTTCAGCATTGCTCCAATCATGGGATGGACATATGGTTATCCAGTACCAGAAATCCAAATTTGACATCTATGGGCAGCTTTCATTTCCAAAATACTGTAGTCTTCCAATATTAAATAGATATGGAAAGAAGACACCAGAGGAAGAGAGCCACAGATATAACTGTATATTCCATATCTCTTTATCTCATCTTTGTCTTTGCCTTCTTTTTTCTTTCTCTATTAGTAGCTGCGGATAAATGATTGGTGTTATTTTGAAACATCCTGGTTTATTGTAGCAGTGCCCCACTTTTTTTCTTAATTAGGTACATTATTTCCTTATTCCTATCTAGCTTTCTTTCTTCTATCCCAAAAGACTTGACAGTCTTGCTGAGAAGTAAATCATTGGGTACTTTAGAAATGGTTGCCCTCCACTTATGATTTACTAAGGATTTATATGTGTGTTGATATCATCTTTTGTGTACAAATGATGCTGCCTTAGCTACTTAATAGCTTGTACTCATTCTTGAACTTTGCAAAGGATAGTTTACTAAAAGTCTCTAGTCCCAACTAACTTTCATGAACTTTGTTGTCCATTTTTGTATTGCCATCACTCTTCTGCCCGTGTTTATGAATGCCTGTGGTTGACCATTGTGTGACACTGAATGCTGGCCTAGAAGGGACAAGGGCTGATCCAACAGCACTCTCTATTCTTATGTTCTTTTCTTAGGTTTCTCTCCAATGTAGTCGTCTCTAACTAAGTCTCACTGGAATCAGCTGGATTTTCCTTCTGATGCCTACAAATGGGATCAAGCATTGATCTTACAACTGATTTTTATCTGAACATTTTAGAGTCAGTTTTACTTTTAGAGTCAGTAATTTATTCCCAAGCTTTAGAGTGGTCTTGAATTTAAATTAGTAAAATAATAAATTGGCTTCTTTTAACATTATTTCAAATTCATGAGGATTTAGATGTGGCCTTTAGGGCAGTTTGGCTACCGTTACAATAAGACTCAGCTTGTTAGCTGGGATGCAAGGAGGTCTTATTATGGAAATCAACTGATGGAATAAGACCAAGGTCAGAAGGGATTGTGTTCTGTTAATACCACTAGCAGATAGAGAAGTCTCATTAGAGTAATGCCAGAAAACAAACCAGATGTTTTTACTATTTTTAAAATGTCTCAGGTATTCATGTTAGTCAGAAACAGGGCTACATAGACAAAGTCACTTTTTAAAATTGTGCTTCTTTCTTCATTCTAATTATACTTTGCTTTCTATTCTAATGAGCACTCAAACTGATTTACTAATTTAACAAAAGGCAATAACTTTTTTTAAAAGGGAGAAAGTTAAAATAGTAATTGAAATTATTGCTAACTTATTTAAAAATTAAAAATGTGACAAAACAGCAGCCACTGTACAACATCTTTAATCACTGAAAGAGTGAAGATAAAATATCTAAAGGACTTCATTCCATTAAGTGGGAGTAATTTATTTATTAAACCTATATGCCGCCCATCTCGCAAAAGCAACTAATATAGGTGAAAATTCTCTCCTAAGTGCTAAAAAGAAAGAATTTAATAAAACTGTAGGGTGGTTGGGGTGACAGAACATTGCCCAGTGAATTTCTATAGTTGAGGTGGGCTTCAGCCTGGATCTCTTTAATTCTGGTCCAGCACCTTAACTATTATACTGTATTTCACTGACTTTTACATTATTAGTAGCTAACACATAATACTTTGTCAGGTTAAGTTTATATTCTCCAAGGAATAGCATTCAAACTCAATACAGTATTATTACTGGTCTCACATTGGTCATATCATTTCACAAACTAAACTTGTTATAACTTTGTCAGAAAGTTTGTTGTACAAGATTTTCCATTGCAGGCAAAAATAGCTGTAGCTAAACAACCAGGAGATTGGCATGGTCTCAAAGGAACCATTTTTTTACACATTTTTAATTGATCCTCAACTATATATCCAGAAAACAGATTGTTCGTTATTATAATGGGAAATTCATATGTCTTTATTTTGCATAGCAGCTTGAAATTTTTCACATACTGTAAGTGGCTTTTAAATGTTAACTCTAACAACTTTAACAACTCCCAGTCTATCAATCTACCTACCTCCTGGCCTATTATGCTATAGGAGATGATCAGGCTGAGCCCGAAGGAGAAATCAAATGTCTCATCAGTCATGAGTCCCTGTGCATGAAATCTAAGTCCAGTCTACTTTGAATTCTTTTCTACTACTTCAGATTAATGTTAAGCACCAGAAAAATCAGGAGAGCCAGAGAGTTCAAATGGATTTATTACAAGCTTAAACTCTCTACAACAATCTGAACTGCTCACAACCAAGGGAAATTAGTGGTAAGAATAGCAGGGAATTCAAGGTGAACTGGACTTCGATCTTTTGTGAGAGCATAGGGAGTTAAGACTAATGATGCATTTGACCCCTCCCTCAGGCTCAGCCTGGTCATCTACATTCATGTTGGAAGCATCTACCAAAGCACTTTCAGGTTGAAAGGATAAGCCAGGGACATCATCATTGCCTATGGGATGCCTGAGGGGGCTCCTTTAATGTCCCTGTTATTTTCCCTCTGAAATGGTACTTGTTTGTCTACTTGCATTTGCATGCTTTTGAACTGCTAAGTAGGCAGGATCTGGGACAAATTGATGGGGGCTTATTCTGTCATGTTGCTCATGGTCTCGGGTTTTGAACTGCCAAGCTGTTGACCTCTCAATGGCCTTTTGACTCAGCATCCTAACCACGTGAGCCACTGCAGCTCCCACTTCCTGGCCTAATTCCTTAGGACAGAAGTAGGAAACTCCCTTTTACATTGTTAACTTGCAGAAAAATGTTGGAAGAGAATTTTAAGTATTTCAGTATGGACTGGATTTCGATTGTGCCACATACCTCTACTTCATATAAACTAGCATTTCCTCTTCCCGTTCAAAAAATAGGAACAGAACTACTGCAGCATTCAGTGAGGCAAGGATTGTCAACAGCACTCATGTATACAATAATGTGTCTTTTATTTTCAGGAAGTGCACTTGAAGAATACAAGTAGAGGAAACACAGGAAACAAGAACTACAGAATGTAAGAAAATTCCGCCCGTAAGAATGAAGAATGAATGTGCCACCTGCAGGATACTTTGCTGTAAATAATCAGACATTGGACAAAGCTAGAGTTCAATAAGTTTGATGAATTCTCCACTAATGGGCATTCTCCCTAGGAACAATGCAAGTAGACATTCCAACAAAAAGCCAACTCAGTGCTCAGATGTTTCTGAGACTGGCAGATTGCTACTGTAATTGGTCACTTCCAAGTATCTACAAATTGTACATGCCTCACATAGACACAGTCCCACACCCCTTGTCTTCAGCAGCAAATGTAAAAGCCTTTAGTGGATTCAATTGCACTAAATTAATTTATGAGCCCTGCTGTTGGAGTCACTCACCAGCCTTATCTAAGTGGAGTTTTTTTTTTAACTTTTTTTAAATATTTGTACTTTTAGATAAGCAACAGATTGTTTGTCTTGCAGTGTCTGATAACACTGTTTGATTTCCCTTCCATATTTGCACAGTTTAGAATTCCTAGTAGGAACAGCAATAAAGTTAACATATTCCTTTCACTACTGTAGTGGCTTTTTAACAGCACACAAGACTCATGTGTTCATCTGACTCGGAGATCCTTATATGTTCCAAGATCCACAGAGAGTTCTTACATACATGCAAAACATTATTTTCTTCCATTGAGGATGTTACTATTCATATTTCATCCTTATGCAAAGCTGTCTTTGGCCAGTGACATTAATGGAATAGCTTGCATTACTAGAACTCCCTGTGCAAACTCCCATATCTAAAACAAGTTTCTGGGTCTAGGTTTTAAGATGGTCATTCCCCTGCCTATAACAGATGAAAATAGAAATATATGCAATTTGAAGAATCTAATATTTTTTGTTGAGGTAAGCTAAGAGCACATATGAGCTCTCTTAAATTCTCAGTGACTCTTTCAGATAACTTATTCACAACAATATAAATAAATGTCTTTTTCTTCCATATAAGGCAATACATAGAAATTTAGCATATTAATCATACACATATAACCAACAGTATGTAAAAAAATCTCTTTAATAGTACAATGGTGCTATTCTGTAGCTTGCTTTATGAAAGGTCTTACCAAAACAGTAAGAGGTACAAGCAAAGTAGCATATCTGAAATAAGTTGGAAACAATGGCAAAGATTAAATAGAAGGGTATTTGTTAAAAGATGCATGATTGATTTAAGGTTTCTAATTAATTAAAACATTAATATCAAAGAGTGATATGGGTACTCGAGTTACAATATTTTATTTGGTGACTGTTCAAAGTCACAATGGCACTGAAAAAAAGTGACTTATGACCTTTTTTCAGCCTTGTGACTATTGCAGTACCCCTGTGGTCACATGACCAATATCCAGACACTTGGCAACTAGCATGTCCCAGAGTCATGTGGTCACCTTTTGCAAGCTTCTGACAAGAAAAGTATATGCCAGGTTCACTTAACAACTTTAGCAAGAAAGGTCATAAAATGGGAAAAACCTCACTTAACAACTGTCTCACTTAACAATAGAAATGATGGGCTCAGTTGTGCTTGATAGTCAAGGACTACCTGTACTAATATCCAACAGAAAGGACATCTACGATTCGTGGTACTGTGAAAAAGCTACGATTTTATCTTTAAAAGCACCTTTGAAAAGATTGGTCCTTTTTGGCAACAAAGAAGAAAAGTGGAGTGAGTTTCCCAAGACTCTTAAAACTAGTGTGGTTGTGATAGAAAAAGAAGACGCAGAATACTGAAGCTTGACTTCTTTTGTCATATGACAACAGCAACCGCCCTTCACCATCCTTCCTAAGATAGCAGCATTCAACCCAGTACAGTACTACCTTACTTATATGGCAATATGCTCAGGAATTTTAGTTTAGGGCAAGCCAGAATCAAATATTAGCCACTGAACTTAATTTAATTTCAACCAATGATATTTTAATACCTTAGAACTGGAAGGAAACGTGGAGAGCCTGTGGTCTACAGTGTCCTCAGTTCAGGATGCAACCCTAGAAAGTGGAGTTCTAATGCCTAAATGCATTGAAAAATGAAATATGTGGCAAAATTTGCTTTACCTTTTACTGGTTTTAGTTAACAATGCAAAGTGGTGCTATTGTTTTGCTTGAGAAAGTACTTGAATAACAAAGACACAGAACAAAACATAAATACGTTTTTTAAGATAAGCCAATTGCACATGTAGAGATTGTACTTAAAACTGAAATATGTTTAGCCATAACTTTTCAACTTTCCTATGATTATAAAAAGGAAAGATTTTTTTGAACTGAGTGGCTAGCCTAATTTAAAACAAGAAAATTAAATTTGGAATGAACACTACTGCTACATATATTGACTCTTAGGAAGTAAAGGATGATATTAAGCAAATACTTAACTTCCATTTGTTGCAATGGACATGGTATAGATCTGGGATAATTAGATATTGCACTGCAAAAAATACTGCTTTCGGTCCCAATCCAGCACATAAGGTGTGAGTAGAGCTTCAAGTATGGAACTCCTTCTCTGGCAGATAGCAAAAGGACTTGAATCTACTGCAGAGGTCTTCAAACTTGACAGCTTTAAGACTTGTGGACTTCAACTCCCAGAATTCCTCCTCCAGTCATTTTAGTTCAGGAATTCTGGGAGTTGAACTCCCACAAGTCTTAAAGCTGTCAAGTTTGAAGACCCTCGTCTTTGAGCAGCAGGTTGGACTAGAAGACCTCAAAGGTCCTTTCCAACTCTTATTATTCTGTTATTCTGATCACACTTATGTGGTGGGCCTATCAATTATCACAACAAAATGTTTTCAGTTCACACCACATCTATACGTCTCTCAGTTCAAATTTTCTGTCCTGAAAAAGATTATATAGAAATCCATTTCAAACTGGGACACATAAGGAAAAAAAAGGGACAGCTCCACAAGAAAGAGTTGAAAATATATGGCTAATATTTTATGGAGCCTAAGTTATGTATGCTTGTGTGTTTGTGTGAGTGCACATGCCTGTAGCTTGATCCATGTATATGATTTTAAATGGTAGTTTCCATAAACTTTATCTTGTGAAAAAAAATAATATTTTAATTTCCAGGGTTGTTCTTTTTCAATGAAAGTTAACCCAATTAGAGATTATTTGAATCTAAGCAGGAAAATGTTTTTTTGTATAAAATATAAGCATTTATTCATTTTTAAAACTACTTTTAAAGCAGAAGTCCCATCCCACTGATTTGGGACAAAGACTTTTTATATGAAATGTGACTATACATTTATATAGGACTGCTGTCTTCATCTGAAAATAAATTGAATAATTCATTAAACAAACAAATAAATGAACCAACAAACTGACTCCTCTTTTAAAAATAGTGCTATTTCTATGCAAAACTATGCCATATATATTTTAAAGATCATTTAAACAGACATTCTATTGTTTTGGTTGCAAATAGGCACTCTAATATAAATGCCTGTAGGTTTGGGGATTATTTTTAAAGAGGGATCTGATTTATTATTATTTTTGTCAGAATGTTTTAGTTATTTAACAAGTCGCAAATCTCCCTTTATACATTTTTTGCAGAAGTAATTTATTTCAATTAAATCATAGTAAATCATACACATCACATTTTGCTCTTGAAAAAGAAGCAGCTCTATCTTCAGACCATGTTCATTTTTATTTTATCACATTTTTGCCCATCATAGCACTACAAGCTTTATCTTTGTTTAAATACAGCATCTTATGGTCATTTTAACTTGATTTTTTACATGAAGAAAGTTACAAATAATACAATACAGATACTACTCTATAAAACAACAGTGGACAATGTTTTCATTTGGCTGAAAGATCTAAGGGTAGATATAGATAGATCATTTCTCCTCACCCCCTTCTATTCAAGTAAATTGCAGCTAATAACTAGTAGCTACTTCTTACTGAATGTAGATTTCAATTTAATTGCAATTATGTTTAGCTGACCTGGGACAATAGATTTTCATAGGTGTCAAGATAGAATTATAGAAGTAACATTGCCCATAAGAAAACATTTTTTTTAATGCTACAAGTTATCCTACTTAATGATTTTAATTGGGGCCTGACTTCTATCACTAAGTGAATCAGTCATTATACAAAACATCTCGTGACCATTCTACTAAGTGATGGCAGTTCCAGTTGTGGTCATTAGGTAAGGACTGAATTGTCGTTAGGCAAGGATGTCGACTCTCCTGCCCCACCACACTTGTTTCTGTTTTAGTATCCCCCACCTGCCTATCTCTTTCCCATCCCTGTCCTTTTGGTCACCTTGCACTCTGGTCACCACTGGAGATCTCATGAAGAGCCAGCAGCTGCCTCAGCCCAATAGCAGGAGGAGAAAGATATTGAAGGTCAGCTGTGTGTGGCAGGAGTAGGTGACAGCATGAAATCAAAAGGGCAGGAGGTAGTCAAATTGGAGTTGAAGTGCACGCTGTGTCTGTTACGTGCAGGCAAGCTGCCAAGTGCTCAAATTTTGATCACATGATCATAGGATTCATGTATTGCAACAGCTGTACCTTTGAGGGCCAGTCAGAACTACCACTTGTTCAGCTTTATCATAACTTTACGTGGTTGCTGAACAAATGCTTGTTAAGCGAGGACTACCAGTACTGCTTATTATTCCTCTAGCTTTCATTCTTCTCCTGGGCCAAGGACAAACATTTTCAAAGCACCATCCTGGAGATGCTAGTATAATTTTCTAAGAAAATGTACTTGGCACCTCAGTTTCAATTTTTACAGAATTACTTCTTACGTATAAAAAGTTTGTTGGAAGATGAACCAGGGCTCTATGAGCACTACATTTGTTGGAAATAAAGAATTCATGCACTTATAGGAGAGAAGCCGAGATCATGTGGTTATACTACAGGTTAAGTGTTACAAGCTGCAAGAGGACAAGACAGCAAAATATATACTGGCAGAGCTCGCTTAACAATTGCACTCTTTAGTAATTGCTTCAGGTTACTACAGCACCGAAAAGGTCATTTTACAACCAGTCCTAGCCAAGGGTGGACTGCTACAGGTTCACCCAGGTTCAATAGAATCGTTAACTTGAGCTAGATTCCAATATAAACAATATAGAATTTTTTTCACAGCGGTTGTTACTCTACTATATTTGCCACTTATTTTCTGTTGTACTGCATAGTGGAGTGTTGATACTGCCCAACTAAACATCACTATCAATTAACTTTCTAAATAGACTTACTTATGAGTGTTTATCTATTACAGAGCCTCTAAATGGTGCACTCAGAAACTAAAAATAAATAAATAGAAAAAACACTGAGGAAATAACTGAAATATATGAAAGAAGGGTGGATGCCTTCTTAAACGAACTGATGAAATTATCTACATTAGCCTTTCTTGGATAAAATTTCATTTACTAAAACAAGCAAGTGAAATATTATCCAAAAGAAGCTGAGTCACTTAAATCAAATAAATAAATTTATCTAGAGTCAAAGATGATCCATATCAGCACTAAATGACAATTTGGCAACTTCAATATATTAATCTCTTCTATGTGTCAATACCTTGCAAATTGTGGGACATTCTCTAGATGGGGGGAGGGCAGGAGAGAGGGATTTGCATAGCATTTAAGATGTAGGAAAGTTTCATCTGAACCCAGATAATTCCTCAGGAAAAGTGGTTTGTGGATTGCAATCTAGACATCTGTTGGTTAATTATGTTTGTTCAAAACTTGAGAAGGAAAAAAAAGCAATACATCATTGCTTTTTTGTTTACAATGTTTTGCTCTGCAAGTATAGCAATAGCACTTAGTTATTATACCAATTGGAAGACTTCTCTGCTAGCCCTGATGTTTGAGAGAAAAGTTCATTCATGTCACTGGTTTTGTGTGCCTTGTCTTAAGTACTGTTGCTTTTTTCTTCTTCTTGTAATCATTCCATTAATTTAAACACCTGTTTCCGGACTATGTTGTAATTTAGGTTTATTTCCCCTTGCAGCCCCAATCCCAAAGCGCTCCACCGACACAAGCCACATTGAGGACCAGAGTCTTAAGCAAGGAACTTGCCTGCGTCAAACTAACCCATGGGCAAGTTTCCTGACAATAGAGAGTAAATGAGAACAACTTTTCCTTTGAGGTATGACAGAGTGACTCTTGACATATGTCTCACCAATTCAATTGCATCCCAAGAAGAATATTAAATTACCAGCTGGTGTCTTATGCCTTTTTTTTCCTGAATTAGTGTTGCTACCTAAAAGAAGGATTCTTCAATGCAAGATGTGTATTTCTTTTATTTTTATTTTTTTAAAATCAGAATGTTATGGGGTATGTTTTACATACTTCGGAGAAAGTTTGAAGTGAGGCATTTTTTAATGCATCTCAAGAGGTTTCGGTAACAAAACTTGATGCACATTTGCAATGTCACTTGCCTCTAACCATTTGCGTAAGTCCTGCATATCTTCTCTGCAAGCTAACATGACTGAGGATGGGCTGACACCTATATGGGTGACCTCTTACAAATCTAGCATATCATAAGTAGCCCTCCGATTTATGAATATTCTTTTTTTTTTTTGAACTGCCAAGGTGCTAAATGTTGAGATTAATGTTGATGTATTTCCCTTGTGCTCATATATTTTCCCTGTGGTCAAGGAGAGAAGCAACCTAGAACTAAGGAGAAATTTCTCGTCAGTGAGAACAATTCACTAGTGGAATGACTTGCCTTCAGAAGTTGTAGGTGCTCCATCACTGGACGTTTTCAAGAAGAGATTGGACAGCCATTTGTCCAGAATGGTGCAGGTCTCCTGCCTGAACAGGGGGTTGGATAAGAAGACCTCCAAGGTCCCTTCCAACTCTGTTATTCTGTTATACTTTTAACAGCAAAAAGTTATTTTCTAAATCCATATTCATCAAATCACTTCAGATCATGCAAATGATCTTCCTAAGTGAATGCAAAATGCATGAGCATAAACGTTTGTGCAGCTCTCCATGTTTGGATTTCTAGTTTACCATTTTCTCCCTTGTGTTCCATCAGAATACAAACTGTCATGACTTCATGACAAGTAAATAATATTTCATACTATGTATGTAACATTAGTATGTTGCAGAATTTCCTATTCCATGACTCTATCAAATACTACTCATCGGTTATTCTCTCTATTTAGCACTCATTAGTTGCACACCAACACACAGAAATCCCAACGACCAAAGTTTTATTGCTTTGTTCAAAGAAGAAGAAGAAGAAAACCCTCACAATTTCATAGGTCACTCAGAATCATTTAGCCCAGGTGCCAACTCTGTCCAAAATGTTTAGCCCGGTAAACATTGTTCCATAAACAAAGAGCATGCTCATGCTTCTTAAATGCTTTTTAGTGTTTATCATGATAGGTCCAAACATTCTCAAAAGCTAGCTTTCTGATTTCCACTTCTTTTTTTTTTTTGCATTGTATCTTTACATTTTAATTGACTGCAGTTTCTCCTTTTAGAAAAATGGACTCGGTCACACTGACACAAAGCAATCTTTGGTTTGTAGAATGTATGGAAATATTTGCAACCCTCATAGAACAAAATCAAAATGTGAAACATTCTGTAAGAGGGTACCTTTCTAATGTATTTGTATGTATAATTTACACCTCTGTGAGGTTGAATAAATAATAATGGTTAATAAATATCTGTCTCAGCATCTTCTGTTCCATATAACTCTTGATCTCTTTACTCATAACCTGCTTGTTTTAAAACATTCTTGGGGCATTTCTGGTTTTCCATCAGCCTGAGCCAAGACTACGATTTTATTGCAAACCAGACTTCCCTAATCTGGTATTCTCCAGATCTGTTGGACAACAATTTTTAGAAATCCTTCCATCAAATGATGGGAAAGCGCAGGGTAGGGGGAAAAGTGACCTAATTTATATCTCATAACTTTTGGCTATTGATAAGAAGAAGGGCATCATCTGGGACACACCAAACGTGAATTCTACCTATCCTTTCTACTCAAAAGCTGCAGTAAACATAATAATATATGCTTTTGATGACAAGAATAGAAATAAACTCTAAAATAGCACACTATTGTTACCACCTTAATCTGCTCAGTTTTACAATTTCTGCAAGCAATAACTGATGGCATACAACTGTTATTATGTCAGCACAATTTCATCTTCCACTAAGTTTGAATTTATACTCACTGTGGGTTGAAGTTTAGAAAAAGATAGCTGTGCAGTTGAAGCAGTGATCCGCAGTGGCTTGAAATTAATTCAAACAAGGACTAATCTGAGGCCAATTTCTCCTAAGGGTCAGAACGCATTTTTGAAACATTACTCTTTCTAAAAGCAAATTCAAATGGTTGAATGCCAACAGAATTTAAGCCAAAACATAGGCCCTCAGAAGTATCATCATGCTTTAGGAAAATCCAAGGTTTGCAGAAATGCAACACATTTTCAAGGAGGAAAAAAGCCTAACATGATTAAAAAAAAGAAAAGAAAATATATTCCCAATTTTTTTAAGATCGTATCTTTCAAATTGTAAAACATATAAAAAGGTAAAGGTTTCCCCTATGCAGTCATGTCTGACTCTAAGGGGCAGTTACCTTCCCACTGAAGTGGTGTCTATTAATCTACTTGCATTTACATGCATTTGAACTGCTAGGTTGGCAGGAGCTGGGGCAATAATGGAAGCTCATCCTGTCATTCAGTGCTCAGGTCTCAAATCTGGACTGTCAACTTTTCAGTTGACAAGCTCAGCATCTTTAGCCACTGAGCCATCACACTCCCATAAACCATATATCTTATCCAATAATGGTGAATTCCAGGTCATGCAAACCGACTTTTCAGTAAATGTCAGCATATAATATAAAATAATGATGCACAGAGGAAATTTTTTGATGACCTTGATGTAGGACCTAAAGAAAAAAAAAATTCAACAGAAACACCTGACCCAGAAAACCACCAGCAAAACTGGCTTCTAATGAAAGCCACAGATACGAGACCTGTAGCTTAGAAAGAAGCCCAGATAAAGACATATACAAATATTTACAGAACAATTTTAGTGCGTGCATGAATAACTTGATAGAAAATAGTTCTTTGGTGGGGGGAAGTTAATATGAAAAAAATAAATGTCCATCATATATTTCTTTATCATTTGATTACACTTTCAAAATACATCAAAACCGTACATTACAATTTGAGTTTCTTCTAGTAAACAATTTGCCAGCTAACAGTCATGGATTAGAATAAATTACCCCCTATTACACATGATTACCCTTATTACCGATGATTACCCTTACTACTCCTGATTACTCATCGTAATGCAATCACATCTATCGTGGTTAATTAGCATATCTTAACCAAACAGTGTTTCCAATACACCGCGCGTGTTTATTATACAAAGTCTTTGCCGGTGGAGGGAATCGCCATTCTTCAGGTCGGCTGGGCTTCGTTTTAAATGCGTGTGTTGCATAGCCATGATTCTATTTAAATTTATTCTGAAGTAAGTCTCAAGATACTTTATGCCTTTTCTCCTTAGAACACAGGGGTATCAAACTCAAGGCCCAGGGGCTGGATCTGGCCTGTGGGGTGCTTAGATCTGGCCCATGGAACCACTGAAAACAGCAAAGGACCAGCCCGTGGTGCCTCTGCCACAGAAAACGGAGCTGGGAGGGCTGCCCACAGCCCTTACAAGCTCCATTTTTGCTGGCAGAGGGTTGCAGGAGGCCATCACAGCCGAAAACGGAGCTCACAAGAGCTGCGCGTGCTTCGGAGCTCCGTTTTCATTGGCAGAGGGATGTAGGAAGCCGTCACAGCCGAAAATGAAGGTCAGGAGACTGTTTTTGCTGGCAAAGTGCTCGGCCCACCATAGGTTCCCCCAACACAAATGACGTCGAGCTGCCGACACCCACCCTGACCAAACCCACCCTGGTCACCCAAGTTCAAACACAACCATGATGAAGCCCTCAATGAAATCAAGTTTGACACTCCTGCCTTAGAAAGTGTGTTCAGAATTGTAACTTTATCATCAATATCAATCTTGATATAGGCAACAACTGGATAGAATTATTTCTGTTATACCTGACTTGAAAAATATATTGAAAGCATCCAGCTACTGAAATGGGAACCAAGACTCTGGATTTGATTGGCAGTTGCTCTGATTCAGTAGGGCTCTTTTGTCCCTAATAATGTACAGTGCAGAATTCTGCAATGGAAAGATATATGAAACTAACTGCAAGCGATACCATAGAGAAATCTCTGGTTTTGTTTTAACAGCCAACAATTAATAGGAATTATTATTAGTCCAGACACTTTCTATTTGAAATGGAAGGTTTGGATTAAATGGAAGAATATATAAATGCCTATAACTTAATTGATGTGTGTAAATTTTGGTTCCAGTAGCAGATTTGCAACCTTGTCCATGTTTTTGAGGGACAATTCTTATGGAAAAGCATAGCCCTATTTCAAATAATATCAGAATCGAAATATCAAATTGAAAACAGGATTCAAATTGTTGTTTGGTTCTTGACTTCCATATCTAGTTTTGTAGCGCTAATTAAAACCAAACCACAAGTAGAAGAGGAGTTACTTTATCTCAATTCCTGTTTTGTTCTTTATTATGAAATTGACTGGAAGCTCCTAATTTATTAATCATTATGGTTAATAAAGAACTGGCGAAATCTTCTCTTATGTACCATTTTTCTAATATGAACCATGTCAGCAAAGCTGGAGGGCTTCATGAATTTCTGTACACTAAGTTTCACAAGTGGGTTAGCTGTGTCCCACATTTTTAATTCAGCAGAATTCAGGGTGATACCTTACAAGAGCGGCCTGATCCCATCCATCCTGAGATGTACAAAATCCTGTATGAGAGACAGATAGAATTAAATATCCTTAGTATACTGGTGATACATACTTCAACTCTTTGGAAAACTGTCTCTATATGTAATCTAGGACTTTGGAGAAGAGGAACAATAAAGCATCACGAGACCAAATGAAATTCATGAATGAAGGCAGATATACGTGTCCCAATATTGCAAGATTGCAGCATTCCAAATAGAACTTTTCTACTTCTGATTATCATTCTTGCAGATGGGAATGGAACCACCACATATCATGCCCTATTCCTAATTTAGAGACTTATTCTAGCAATATTGCTAGAATGGTATATAATGATCAATGGTATATAAGCATGAACATCTGGGGTATGAGCCAGGGGTGGGATTTAAATTTTTTAACAACCAGTTCTGTGGGTGTGGCTTAAGTGGTGGGCGTGGCTTGGTGGTCATGTGACTGGGTGGACATGGCTTGGTGGTCAGGTTATTGGCTGGGTGTGGCCAACTCAATATCACTCACATTGAGGCACACATCTCCTCGCCTGGCCTCCCATGATTGTGGAGATCCTGCAACAGTCGTAAGTGTGAAAAATGGTCACTTTTTTCAGTGCCATTGTAAGTTTAAATGGTCACTCCACACAAGCAGAGTGCCAGCAAAGAAGGGGGAAAAAACTCCAGAGAAGTTCCAGAGACAGGAAGTCTAGTCCTGCCAAGAATGTAATAAGGGTTAACAGAGAGGCAGTTTCTGTAAGCAACACCAGAATGTTTCCTTCCTGCCTTCCTTACAGGATTAGGCCAGTAATTTCTTCTAACAACCAGTTCTCCGAACTGCTTAGAATGTTAACAACCAGTTCTAGCGAATAGGTGCGAACTGGTAGAATCCCACCCCTGGTATGAGCCTATCTATGTAACTCTGTGTGATTTATACAGCACATCCTCAGAGTTGTACCCAGACCACCTGTTGCAGTACTACAATAGCTCCTCTCTGAAGGTAAGTATAAGGGATGTAAGTATAGCCCTTTGACTGGAATTTGATTCCAGAAAAAACATTCACCACATTTCTCCCAGTAAAGATAATTAATACAGGCAAACAAGGCCATTATATTCACAACAATATCCAGGACTTTATATCCAGCTTAAATATGACCAGCTTCTTGCAGCTATACTTTCTCTTTTCCATAGAAACATTTGCAACCTGTAATTGGTTTTCCAAAAGCCAGCATCTTCTAAGGCAGGGGTCTCCAAACTTGACAACTTTAAAACTTGTGGACTTCAACTCCCAGAATTCTCTAGCCAGCTATGGAGCAAGAGTCTTAAGGTTGCCAAGTCTTAAAGTTGCCAAGTTTGGAGACCTCTGTTCTAAGGTGTTTGTTTCTTTTTTCATCATCACTTTCTAACTGATTGGCATAATTCCTTCACCTAAATAGGAATTGCGGTCTTGCAAAACAGATCCAATTACACACTAATTACTTAACAACAAGGATGGGTAAAGGTCTAGAAAAGAGATAATTCATTTAATCCCCATATGCAACTTTTTTACTTCCTTGGGTGGCAACTGAAAATGATCCTACTAGAATCCCCTCAATTGAATAGATTTCCCAGTAATTGTGATGACTAACTTGGAGTAGATATGAGCAACTTCATTCTCAAAGTATCTTATAATCATGGTATACAACTCCCAAGAAAGCCTTGCTGGAGAGTTCACTTGGGTTCAGTAACATCAGAAAAGTAAGCCCTCATTGTCATCACCATGTAAATAAAGTTGTAAATTCTGCTTTGTATTTGGTCATATTTGCTGCATGATTTGTGCTCCCCTTGTCCAGCTTCTTTGCCCAGAATTCTTTGGCAAATGGAAAAGCATT